GAGAGTCGAGTTAAATTACCCGGGAAATACTCCCGCTTCAACTCAAACCAAACAAAACAGCTCTGTCTGTCAAATACTCTTATTCCCTCAACATGCCTGCTACTTCAAAAATACACGTATCGCAGGGCTGGGAGACGGCGAAACAGACCCAGACGTCGGTGGTGGAGGACAAGAAGAAGAAGAACTTTGGTGTTTTCTGTGATGAACGCGGGTATTTGGATCAGATTGAATACATCATGCAGAACGGCCGAACCAAGGGGGACAGAACCGGGACTGGAGTAGTGTCTGTGTTCGGGGCTCAGGCTAGATACAGCTTGCGAGGTCTGTCACATTATACCCTTTATTGTTCTGTATGTATTAGTTTATTATGCATGTGTACTTGTTATTATTATTATTATTATTATTATTCTAACAAACAATTGCGCAGGAAGTTTTCCTTTCATTTGAAGTATCAATTAATCGAAGTGTATTCATATAACCCAATATCTCCCATTTTACATTTCGTCTCAGTGGACTTAACAGTTTTTACAGAATATGGGGAAACATGTTAGAAACTTCGGGGAGAGTGAGAGGAGGGATCCCTCTCCCATGACGGACAGACGTGTCATATGTCGCGTGTACATAAAACACTAGCAATATAGGTCGTCCAAATGCTCGAACGTGCATTTGTCTATGAATAAGAAGATGATTAATCCAGGTGGATGTCAACAATACTGTGGGAGCCATCAAAGAAAAGGGGAGCAACAAGCCAGAAGAACACAGGCACACCCACGACTCAGGAACACAGAAACAGGCACGGACACGACTCAGGCTGCATCTCAAGTCGGTTATTTTCATTTCCTCGCTCCTCGGTATCACCGAAAGTTGATTTGTCTGCGCCATCTTGAGTAGCGTCCCATGGCGCTTATTTCTGCCGGAGGAGCGCTAATCAAGGAACTACCAGACCATCCTCCGGTGAAATCCTCAGCCACTCGCCCCACCCCCTTACTGTGTATCGCTCACTGATTGGACGATGCGAGCAGTTTCCCAGCGGAGTGAAGAAAATACATGAAAATCACGGGAGTCACACTCCTCAGTTTACTTTATACTGCGTTTTGTTTCAATTAATGTATTATTTAGTTACAAATATGTGATATATCTGAACAACAAAGTGGTCAAAAATAATTGTATTCATTTATTGGAAACATTTTCATGATCGCTTTTTTCGTTTTACATTTTCATTTAGTGTGCAGTCCAATGAATGTTAATCTAACTGGGTTTTGATAGATAACATGTCTCTTTCTTTTCTTCTGATTTTATTTCTATTTTGCACTCTAATCAATATTAATCTAACTATTGTTCGTTTATACATTTTAAGAATGGCGTTTATCTTTTTTGAGAATGAGACGCAAGGATTCTATTTAACCGACCTGAGATGCAGCCTCAGGATCTACTACTAAGGGTCCACGACTCAGGACCACATCAACAGGCACCAGCAAGCATCGTGATCAAGCACTCAGGATCCATTACAAAGGAACACTGCAACATGCACCGCCACGTACACGTATTCCCACTCCTAAATGAGTCATGCATTCAAAAATGTATCTGCAAAATAAAAGTATACAGGTTCTTCTGAGCAAGTGTTCTTTGATTGAGATTATTTTTTTACGAGATAAATGATCTATTAGTTGGTTTAATTTATCAACAGTGCATGCTTTTAAGAAGTTTTGCTTATAACATTTTAAATCTGCAGCTTTAAGTCCTTAAAGCTGTAAAATGAACCTAGTGGAGTAAGAAGTACTCTGTTTCTGCATTTTAGTGGAGTGGTACTGAAATGCCAAAGTTATGTCTCTGGTATCAGCAGTACATCGTTTCTCCACCAGGGAGAACTGACAGGTTGCTTTATTACGAAAATGTTCAACTGTCAACATTTCTTATCCATATCTTGGTCAGATTTTTGTAATAATAATTGCTACAGGAAGAGGATGGAGGTACAGTTGCAGCAGAGGAATGTCAGCTGAGTCTGGAGAGGCCTAAAAATCATCACTGGCTACAAAGAGCCAGACTCTCAGGTCCAGGGGGGCCAACAGTGGGCAAACAACCTGAACATTTTCTTTAACAGATTTGACCAGTCTGGCGCCCCTCCATGGCCCCATTCCCCCCTGCTGTACTGCATTCGAGGTCCAGATGGCATCAGCTCGAGGCTCCTCAAATCCTGCGCAGACCAGGTGTGTGGGGTCGTGGACTTCCTCTTCAACCTGAGCCTGAAGCAAGGGAGGGGTACCACTACTGTGGTAGACGTCGTGTGATACCTGCGCGAAAGACCCCCCTCCCCGAAGGATTTCAACAGCTACCGGTCGGCGGCGCTGACATCACAGCTGATGAAGACCCTGGAAAGGCTGGTCCTTGGACACCTTTGGCCCTGTGTGAGGACATAGATGGACCCGCTGCAGTTCACCTACCAGCCTGACATCAGGGTGGAGGACGCTGTCATCAACCTGCTGCAGAGGTCCCTCTCTCACCTGGAGAAGGCTGGGGAACACCATCCAGCCCCTGCTTCTGAGAGACAAGCTGCAGCTCTTGGGGGCGGATCGCCATCTCATCGCCTGGATCCTGGACTACCTCACCAACCGTCCGCAGTACGTGAGGACCAAGGAGTGTCAGTAAGACACCATCATCTTCAGTACGGAGGCCCCTCAGGGGCGGAGCTGGCGCCGTTTCTCTTCCCCCTCTACAGTGCCACCTGCAGAAATTCTCTGACGACTCGGCCATCGTCGGCTTCATCTTCAACGAGGACAACAGGGAGTACAGGGAACTGACCCAGGACTTCACCCTCTGGTGCCAGAGGAACAACGTCCAGCTCCACACAGGGAAGACCAAGGAGCTGGTGTGGGATTTCAGACGGCGCCGAAACTCTCCGCCAAACCAGTGAACATCCAGGGAGCAGACAGGAGCTGAACAGTGCAGCGGACAGACAGTATGGCTGCCGGAGAATGGCAGCCATACTGTCTGTCCGCTGCACTGTTCAGCTCCTTCAGTGACAGGCTGCTTGCCCCGCTGTGTTTCACAGAGATATTGCAGGTCTGCTCTCCCTGCAGCGATCAGGATTTCCAACCAGCATGGCCCTGGTAGACTCACTGGTATTCCTCACTGTAATTACACCAATGTGCAATAATATAACAAACAAGACTGTCGTGCAATTACACTTATGTGAAATTAGTAGGATCTACTTTGAATGGGACTTGTAAATTAGAATAATTTTTACTTTTTTTTGTCTCCATCTTCACTTTTTGCTGTAAAAATGTACATTTCCGATTTTATTTCATTTTATGTATTATACGGCTACTAATCTGTAATGTCAAATAACGCTGCTTTTATTCATAGACCAGTTTCCCCTGCTGACGACCAAGAGAGTGTTTTGGAAAGGGATCCTTGAAGAATTGCTGTGGTTCATTAAGGTGAGGATTGACCTCTTTTTCTTTCCACCCACATACAGTTTTTATAGTTTTTTGTGTCATCACAGGGATCAACAAATGCAAAGGAGCTGTCTGCGAAAGGGGTGAAGATTTGGGAAGCCAACGGTTCCCGGGCCTTCCTGGACAAGCTCGGGTTCACTGAGAGAGAGGAGGGCGACCTGGGACCTGTGTACGGGTTCCAGTGGAGGCACTTTGGTGCAGAGTACACAAACATGCACACAGGTAAAGCAGTCCAGAGTTGACTGTTTTTGTTGTTTGATACATAGTTTAAGTGTATATCCCACTTTCTCATTTTGAAGGATTTATGCATCTGTATTTTTTTTATATTGAGTTATGCAACAACACTATACATTGTTTTTATCTCAAACTCCTCGAAAAAGAGTGAATAAGACAACTTGTAAAATATTATTTTAAAAAAAATCTATTTGAGCTCATAACAATGACTGCCTCAGAACTCAAAAGAACCAATATGTAATGTTTTTTACAGATTACACAGGACAGGGTGTTGACCAGCTGCAGAATATCATTGACACCATCAACACCAATCCAGAGGACAGACGCATCATGATGTGCGCATGGAACCCAAAAGGTGTGGCATCAACAACATTTTAAATCCCTAAACGGCTCTTAGGTTCTCCTTGACTCTGATTGTAGTGCGATGCATCATTTTGAATGTCTCCTTCTCATGTAGACCTGCCCCAGATGGCTCTGCCCCCCTGCCACGCCCTGTGTCAGTTCTACGTGTGTGACGGTGAGCTGTCCTGTCAGCTGTACCAGCGCTCGGGTGATATGGGCCTCGGGGTGCCTTTCAATATCGCCAGCTACGCACTTCTGACCTACATGATCGCACACATCACTGGACTCAAGGTAAGAGCACTGTGCTTTTGTCAAATCTCACCTTTAGCGTTTGGTATTGCGTTCACCTGACAGTTTGTCTCTTTTACTCCTTATCTTCAGCCTGGTGACTTTGTTCATACGCTGGGCGACGCTCACATCTACATCAACCACATCGAACCCCTAAAAGTACAGGTGGGTTACTTAGACAGCTTTCTAATTCAAACCTACACTTAGTTTAGGTGTTTATTTAGTCTATTTATTAACTTGTGAACCATCTTTGAGCACCAGGAAAAGCACTATATAAATACCATGTATTAATATTATGACACTTCTGTCTATTCTTGCAGCTTCAGAGGGAGATCCGTCCCCTCCCCAAGCTGAAGATCCTGAGAAAAGTTGAGAGCATCGATGATTTCCGTGCAGAGGACTTTGAGATCTGCGACTACAACCCTCATCCCACCATTAAGATGCAGATGGCTGTGTAAAAATAACAGTTTTTTTAGGGATTATTATTTGTGGAAAGTGACTAGAAGATCTATTTTCATATGTCATTTAATCCAATGTTGCAAAATGTATTTTTTTAATCAAGTTCTTGTAAATTGTGTTTTTGCCATTTTCCCTTTTATAATTTGTAAATTAAACGTCTGCTGGATTTGTACATACTTGTTATGTCTGACAGAAGCCTAGCACACTTACACATTTCTACTCGGTCTATTATACTGTTAGACTTAAGCACATTTTTTGTTAAATGTCTCAGATGAAGTCCTTATTTGTTTTTAAGCTGTTTCCACACATCTCCTTCAGGGTACTGGTGTCTCTGCACTGATGATTCCAGCATCTCACAAGAGTAGCCTGCATCCTGAGAACAATAAGCACAGTGTACTCAAACAACACTGCTGGAAAGTAACTAAGCACATTTAAATTATTATCAGTTAAGATAAAACTTTATTGATCCTTTGGTGATATTCAAAATCTTGCCAGCAGTATATATTGTAATACATAAGCAAAATGACATGTAGGCATTAATAAATAGGTATTCATGATTATAATATACATTATGACATATTGTTTTCACTTTATGTAATGTATTCATATTTTGATGCTTTTTATTTAAGAGTTTTGGAAGAAATTCCAGCACTGACTTAGACACTGATAGGATAAACATTAGCGTTTTTAAAGACTTATGCAGAGATTTATTTTGGAAATATTTTCAGATCTTAGTTTGTTAAATTATAGTTGACATCGGTCCGTCTTACCTTGGGAGGCATGTAGCACGCGTCGTGAATCACCACAGGACTGGTGAAGTGCTCATGCAGGTGGTCCACATATTCACACATTCTAGAAAGAGATGGGGAGGAAAAATAGTGCTGATTAGAAATGAATAATCACTTACAGTCAAGAGCTCTTAATTGTGACAGAAGCAAAGCCTGCTCTTACCGATTGCTGAGGCTTGCAGACACACAGATGTAGTCGAACAGAATCAGATGCTGGACGAGTTCACAGAGACCGACGCCTCCAGCATGAGGACACACAGGCACTATGGGAAAAACATAGTATGTGTAATGTAGCCATGCTTTTCATACAGATATCACACTAAGAATACACAAATTAGAAATCCTTTTAATAAGTAAAAAGTAAAAATGCAGTTCATAGTTTTCCATTGACCTCCAATCAGATGGTAGAAAACGTTATATTTTTTACATACAGTATCTAATAACCTTTTACTTCTTTTTGGCACATTTAAGACTCTTTAAATCTTCATAGTCTTTTTTAGGGCTACATATATGATTATTTGAGAATTCATGTCTTTGTTTATACCCTGGAACTTGTGGGCCATCAGCAGCACTGCCAGGTTCTCGTTGACACTGCCCAGCCGACAGCAGTCTATCTGGACAAACTGCAGGGCCGAGGCTTGGAGGAACTGTTTAAACATCACCCTGTTGTGACACTGCAGAGGAAACAGTTACCAACTAACCATCAATTCATCAGCCGGTGGTATGCACACTGGAACAAACACTAACCTGCTCTCCTGTCGCCACTCCGATCCCGAGAGGAGCCAAAGCCTGAAGCGACAGAACATCTTTTATCAGTCTTTTACATAAATAGATTATTGATCAGGCCAACTGGGCACAGACCCAGGGGTCCAGGCAGGCAACGAAAAACAAAAAAAAAAGACAAAAAGAAGAAACATGACCAATACAATGGAATAAAAAAAGACAAAAACGGACACATTACAACCACAAGGGGATGCAAACGGGAACAAAAACCCCACTTTGTGACAAAATGACCAAAAAGAGAATGAATGGCCACAAATAGATGCAGAAGGCACACACACACACACACACACACACACACACACACACACACACACACACACACACACACACACACACACACACACACACAATTAAATACCACAATCGGACACAAAGAACCACAGAGAAGGATTTGGTCTCTTTCTCCATATGGGTGACTGTGTTTAGTGTGAGTGTGTTCTCTCTCACCTTGGAGATAGCAGCGTGACCCAGGATGTCATCAGGAGACGTGGGCTCCTCGATCCAGAGAGGTTTAAACTCCGCCAGGCTGGACACCCAGCTGATGGCCTCGGCTACATCCCACCTCTGGTTGGCATCAATCATCTGAATGCAAAAACACACATAACTAGTACACTTGTGTCTAATGTAAATACAATTGGTTAGGGGAAACCAACATTACCAAAGTGTTTTCTGGCCCAATCATTTTCCTTATAAGGCGGCACCGGCGTATGTCGTCCTGTAGATCAGCGCCTACTTTCACCTTGAATTTAGTCCAACCACTTTTAAGAGCATCTGTGCAGAGCTTGAAAAACACACAACTGTCATTTTTATTTTCATGATTTGTTAAACCTGAGATATTATTGGTATTTTATGGCCCAGACACCTGTTGGAGCTGCTGGTCTGGGTAGTTGAGCCATGCACAGGAAGTGGTGTAAGCAGGATAACCCTCTTTCAGCATTTCCTCCTCTGGGGGGCGAGAGAAGCACACAGTTAATAAACACCTGAGTGTTTTTAATAGAGCAACCATGAAGTGCAGGGACCTATTATGCATGCTTAAAGTACTCCTGGTAGTTTCTAAAGAGGCAATTTCACTCTGCAAAATCCCATTCAGCCATGTAATTAATGACTTTTGATAGTGTGCTCACCTCTGTGCTGCTTGTCCTCCTGTGCTTTCACGAGTATGTCTGAAAAGAGAAGCAGATAGAGTGTTTCCTTCACTACACTGCACTCAGGAAAATAGATTTATTTTCTGGATCAGTCTCACCTAGAGCCTCCTCCTCTGTAAGAGCGTCAGTGATGTATCTGAAGTCAATGCATGAGATAACCTGCTTGGGATTCTAAATTGACACATATAAATCATGATATTTCCCTTGTGGTCACATCCTGGACGTAAATCAAATTTCCCATGACTCACCATATCAACAAGAAGCTTCCACAGTGGCTGCAGGAAAAATACACCATGAATCAGGAGGCTTGTGAAGGAAAATGAGTTTTTCTAATCATGACTCTTCAAAAAAGTTCTGACCTTGCCCTCTGCCCTCGCCCACAGGTCCCACACAGCATTCAGGACTGCAGCTGTGGCCAGGTGGATCACTCCTTTCTCTGGGCCTAGCTGGATAACACAACCGTTTTTAACATTACATGGGTTGTGCATCCAAATTGGAGTAACATTTTTTCCATATTGGGGAAAAACTAAAAGCTAAATTAAAACCTGTGAATGAATGATGTAGTTAGAGAGTTATGTTGTTTTTTCTAAGTATACTATTATTACCCAGTCCTTTGGGACCTTCACATACTGGATTATTTCACATAACCTTTTGTAAACGTTATAAATTGCTTTTCTTTGTATCCAAAGAGCGCATTCTACTTGACAGTCAGTCAGCACTCTTGACCAGGACAATAGGCGCGTTCACACCGGTGTACTTTTCCCCGTACTTTTCCCTGTTTAGTTCCGTTAGTACCCCTTATGTCGCGTTCACACCAAAAAGTGTACTTAGTGCCAGGAACTTTTACCCCCATTTTTAGTGCCTGCTAGAGAGATGGTACCAAAAAAGTACCAATTTATATTGGCTGGGCGAATTGCAAACCACGCCCCGTAAAACTCTGAAAAGTTTTTTGAAGCCGGCATTAGGCGCATTCACACCAGTCCCCAACTCCGGGGACTTCCGGCCGGGGACTTCGGGTGGCAGTATAAGCCGTGAAGTTGTTTGCGGCCTGCCAGTAAACCCAAAGCAGAAGAAGACGAAGTGACGTCAGCGGCTCATTTGCGTAATCTTCCCTCAGTGAAAAGTACTCCGGTGTGAACGCGATTGGTACTTAGTGCCCTGGGGTACTAACTAAGTAAGGCAAAGTACTTGGTGTGAAAGCGGCTATTGGGACCTTCAGAAAGTAGATGTGTTCAATTTGATACCCTTTGCGCTCATTATGAATCAATTTTCTTTTTATTTCAAGAGCCTCTTCTTTATATTACCTTTTGAAAAGCCTGGATTTGGCACATGTATTTGCCTTGGCCCATCAGTCTTGATCAGGACTTGGGGACATTTAGAAACTAGATTCAAGTACATGCAAGTCTTTTTCAATATCATATGTAAAAACAGTTCACACATTTATTTATATTTTATTTTTCAGTGCTTGAGTCCCTGTTCTCACCCATCTCATCTGGCTATCACTGGTCAGGAGGCGGTAGAATCCACGGAAGTCGCTCACAATCCCCTGCAAGGATTTCCCAACAACCAGTCCAGCTAGAGCCTCCACAGCACACACCACTGCGGGGATATAATAAAACATAATTCAGACTCTAAAGAAAACTTTATGTATCACTATGGTCTTAAGTTAAGAACATAGTGATACATAAAGTTTTCTGTCTCAGTCAGTTAAGACTCTTAACTATTATGTTTGTTTTATGTAGCTGGAAGAGCTACGAGAAAGATTTATTCTGAATAATGTGTATGTAGGCCAATAACTTTTTATTAATAAGATAGTAGCCTAGCATTTTAGCATTAACTAAAATATATACTGTAATATTGGAACTTGAAAGAAGTGGTATTTGAATACAAGGAAACAAATTCAGAGTTTATTAGAAGCCCTTGGATGTAAGAGTAACCAAAAGGTAGTACTTTTTTTTTTCTTTTTTTTTTAAATCATTGAGTAAACATTAATACATTGATGGAGTAACATAACTAAGAGACATCATTTATTAAATCTTTCATATTGTGTTCAACAATAACTGAACAGCATTTAACAACTGTGCTATGTTATTGTATTGTTGCATTTTCATAGCACGTTGTATTCCAACTTTAAACAACAGGCACTTTATAATTAGTTTAACTGATCAACTGTTAAATTAATTTAAAAAATGAGTAAAATTAATGAAAAAGAGTGATTTCGATGAATTCTTTGCTGATTATTTCCTGTGAGTAATGCATTTCAATCCATTGAATCAAACATAAACTAGCTTCTTTAAGTAATAACAACAACAAACTTTAAAAATAATAATTTAATTCCTTTTTTTTCTTATAAATTGTATGAAAGGTTGAGATGTAACCAACTGTAAAAAAATTATATATTTAAAAGTTTTAATGACTCACGACCCCATTTTAAACTTTGGCGAACCCTAGTGGAGGTCGGGACCCCTATGTTGGAAACCAGTGATAGTGGACTACAAATCGTGTTATGGTATTTAAACAAGCTACATTCCGTTTCTGGTAAATCTTACCAATCTCCGTGCCTTTCCCCAGAGTGAAAGTGAGGCCGAAGCCCTTCAACCCGCAGTCCGTGTCGATGACCACATACGCGGCGGAGTAATCTGGGTCTGTGTGCTGCAGTGCACAGCGGATAGTTACAGCCCATGCCCAGAAATATAGCACACTGTGCTACAGCTGCACACACTTCCTTACCATTGCATCGGAGCCGTGTTGCTCCAAAGACGTCGGAAATCTCACATCCCTGACCGTCAAACTGATAATTGTGTGCAACATTTCCCCACTGGGTTTACATTAGTCTTGTGATTCAGTCAACGTTAGAGTGTTTATTTCAAAGTGATATGTGACTGGTAGAAGTTGATCACACCCTCCTCAGCCTGCAATTGGTTTAAACCATAGACATACCCACCTGACACTTAAAGAGACATATCAAACATGTACTAATAAAAAAAAGAACAATGGACTTTGTAAAATCACGTCTTTATTGTACAAATACCTCTCCACCCACAACCTCCCTCCCAAATATAATTTGCAATCATGTCCATTTTCTTAATAATCTTACAAAATGAGGATTGTATAATATACAAAGCCCTTCTTTACAAGCTCAGTCATCAATTAGTGTTAAACCCCCTTATAATACTGCCCTAAAGAGTCAATACAGGAACCAAATGCAAAGATAAAAGGACTGTAAAAAACTGTCGACATTGCTGTACAAAGTTTCTGCAGAGCCACCTTAGATACATGAGCAGGAAAGAGTCCCAAGTGCTTCATTCAGTCACATTGTAGAAGATAAAAAAAATGTCCAACCAGTTTATATGGTGGCTTTTTCATGAAATGTCATTGTGGCTTGGCAAGAAGCCGCAAGTCCACGAGGTTCATCACTGTTTAACTCACTGACACATTAAACACACTGTTTTTATGTAAGTGTGTGTCTGTCGTGATTGCAGTCAGATTATACAACCAGGGCAGCGATGAACACAAAGAATTATGGCAATGTTATAAAAAGTCCTAGCAGAGATTTCGGTACGAGGATGGACAGTCGGGAAAGTCTTCCAATGAAGCAATAAAACCATGTCCATGTGATATGAATAAAATGTGATAATTCATGTGATAAAAAGAAAATACTAAGGAAAATGATATAAAAAGCAAAATGTTCGAAATTCATAAAATATCATGTCACAGATAAACACTCAAAAATTGCACTGTAGCTGATGAAATGTAATTAAAGTTAAGCTGTATGGGATTTAATCACTGTAAATGGACTGTGATAATGACCATCAGTCCCCTGAGAGCGGCTCTCTATTAGTTTAATATATTATCTCTGTTAATAATGAATCGTTCCAATGCATAATTTACCAATTTACTACAAAAGAATACAATTTGGGGGTGAGTGGAGTGTGAAAGCTCCACATTAAACCACATAGAGGCCAAAAAAAAACATAATATTACCATGAATGAAAAAAAAATATATGAAATGATGGCGGACGCTGAAAGCAAAATAAAAAAATAAAATAAAGAACAAGTAGTGGTTAATGCAACTGGTTATCCTGGATTCAGTTGACTAGGTGAAGTTCAATATTTAAGAGCTCACGTCTTCAAGCAAGTGTGCTTCGAGGCGTCTCAGAGTGAAGGCAGGCTATAGGTTCTCTCCAGGTTGGTACTGAGGCTCTGTGGAGGTGAAATAGTCCTCCAGGAAAGACTGCAGGTACTCGAAGGTGGGCCTCTCGTCGGGGTCCTTCTTCCAGCAGTGCTTCATCATCTCGTGCAGGGACTCGGGGCAGCCCTGGGGACAGGGCATGCGGTAGCCGCGCTCCACCTGCTCCAGCACCTCGCGGTTCACCATGCCTGAGAGTGAGACGGGAGGTAGAAAGGACTGTCAGAGCTCTCTTTTCGGAGAGGGGCTAATCATTTCTTAGTATGAGGAATGTTAAAAAAGGTCAAAAATGGACAGTGAAAGAGTGATTAAAAACAGCAGCTATTTAGCATTTTTCTTCTTGAGAAATGGTGATCAGATTTGTTCATTGAATTCTAAGTTAGAAGACACCAGGAGACTTTTGGTTTGAATGATCATAGAGACTGAAACAGCTAGCCTGACTGTGACTGACAGTAACAAAACCCACGTGCATCCCTAAAGCTCATTGTTGTTGTTTTGAATGTGCATACATACATTGGTGTATTGATGTCCTCATATAACATTACTGCAAGAAATCTTATAGGAGTGTTTCCCAAAATGCCAAAATTGTACATCGAGTTACAAACACCAACACAGTTGTGTTTTTTTTGGCAAGATCTTTGGCACTAAGTAGTATTTGCAGAAGTGTTTTTGGATCTCACTTCTCAGAAAGTGTTTGTGGGTTTTTTGTAGGAATACCAAACGTACCCAGTTTGTAAAAATACCAATATGACATATCTTTATCAGTCACTGAATAGACGTTTATTCAAATGAAAATTTAGAGATTATTTCTGTCTAAATCGATCAATATTTAAAAATTGATTTCCGTAAGTACACTAATCAATTCATTGTGTCAGTGCTACATCTAATAGAAAGTGGAGCCGTGCAAAGGTGGTGCAGCAGACTGCAGGCACTGCTCCCCAGGGCAGTGTCAATCTGGCAGATGGTTATAAACAAGAGTGGTGTTCATTCTCCTGATCGTCCTCCACCAGATGGTGTCATCTAATCTGTGTGTGTGTGTGTGTGTGTGTGTGTGTGTGTGTGTGTGTGTGTGTGTGTGTGTGTGTGTGTGTGTTCCGCCTGCAGAGGCATAAACAACCAGTGCAGACAATGTTAGACGGCGTCACTCCAGCCTCAGACATTAACCGATAGACTGAAGGCTGATATCCCCGCCCTCTGACGCTGCCCTGCGGATGTTTTCTCGTCCTGTGTGTGCATGAGCGTGTCACTGTCACTTACCTGGGTAGGGCACTCTGCCTTTGGTGACGAGCTCGGTGAGAAGGATCCCGAAGGACCACACGTCTGATTTGATGGTGAAGCGGCCGTACAGCGCAGCCTCTGGGGCCGTCCATTTAATGGGGAATTTGGCTCCTGTGACGTGATGGAGAGGAGAGGGGTGAGGTGATTCCACTAGAGGGCGTATGCCTCCATTTCAGTTATTAACAATGGCCATAGTGACCAACAATAGGCCTTTCTCACAGCAGAGAGACTTGTCATAGAAGGAAAAGCAGTGAGGCACAGGGGTTACTAATAACACTAACGAGGGCTTGAAATGAGAGCAGCTAAATGGAATTCAGCAGCAATTCATTTAAGTATTTACACCTGTGCTTTTCCTGATGGAACAAGTCAAATATGATCTCTTATAAAAGCAAATTAGATCATAAAGACCATATTATATTCAGTCCTCTATAGTATTTAGCTTGTAAATACCAGAATCTCAAATTAGAATGTTCAAGGGATAGGCAAGACTATAAAGGATATATTTAAGGTGTGTTAATGTGTTTTATCCCTTAAACGGGCATTCAATATTTGGGAAAATTAATAGAAAAAGTCCTTAGATGTGGCTTTTGTTTGCCCCAAGTTCTTGGAAATGTATATTTGTCATTATTTAAAGGCAAAAGACGAGTAATGGAACATGTATGCACAGCAGTAGATTCATAAAATATTACATATCCCTTCCTCACGAGTAACAATTTGATATATATATATTGGATTAATGTAATAAATGGTTGAGTCTCTTATTTCCAGAAAACATATTTTGCAAATGCTTCCATAAGTCTTGCAGTAAACAGTTTTGATGTGTTCTACTGAAGATACAGTCCTTATGTAAATTCACCAACATGTGAGGATGAATCAAAGTCAAACTGGGATTGGAAGTTGCTACTGCTAAATATTTAAAATGGTACTATTTAAAAGCTGTAGCACAAACAACATGACATTAATTCCCCCCTGTTGAACATGCAGTTACATGCTGAACATCAGCAAGTAAACATTATCTGTAGCATTGAATAGCTGTCGTCTATTCGCTACTTCCCGAGATGCTTGCATGGCTGTAGACTCAATAGGTACACTATGTTTTATGACAGCTCATCTGCTTTATATGATCCTTTATTGTCCATTAATACTTTTCATTTACTTTGATTGTTCCACTCTCTGTCATTTACTGTGGGTATCCAAATGTACTTGATAATGAGAACTGAAAAACCTTTTAAAAAGCAGAAATAGCAGAGAGATGAATTCTCCCAGTGTGTGAAAAGCGCAACTAATCAGACGCAGCAGGAGCATCTGGTTTGCACTATTATCCTAATTCACCATGATAGGAGACAACAGGGGGTTCATCTTTGTCTCTCTGTGTGTTTGTTTACCCACCTTGCCTGGCTGTGTACTCATTGTCCTCTATCAACCTGGCCAGCCCAAAGTCAGCGATCTTGCACACCAGGTTGTCGGCCACCAGAATGTTAGCGGCGCGCAGGTCCCTGTGGATGTAGTTCATCCTCTCAATGAAAGCCATTCCATCAGCGATCTTTAAATAAATACAAAATGGAAAGTGTGTCATGATGGCTGTTATTGGTGAATTGTTTTTTTTAGCTCCCAAAACATCAAGCCCTGCTCTGTCAAGCATAAAGAGTCGGGATCTATTAATGAAAGAACAAAAGCAAACTGAGGAAGACATGTTTACCCGAGGCTGCTGCTCTTCAGAGGCTTAAAATAGTACGCTAAATGTAACATTCACTGACACAAATTTCGCAAACGAGAAACGAAAATGATATATCTCTCACCTGTGCAGCCATGTCCACCAACAAGGGGAGCTTCAGGAATTTACCGTCGCCCTCTTTGAGGTAGTCGAGAAAGCTTCCTATAAAAAAAACAGCGACAGTGAGAAGTCGTAAATGCAGTACAGCCACGATATATACCGTAGGAGTAATAAAAGGCACGCAATACCAGTTGCATAACATTGTGCTGCTGTGGGGAATATTCGTATTAAATGAATTCCTAGATCCTTACTAGACCTGGTTAGGATTTAAAGTGAATATCTAAGTAAGCATGATTTAATTGGTATGTGATTTGGTGTATCTTCTGCATTAAGGAAACTGTGAAAAATACTACAGCTCAGATCAAACCAAAGAGTATATCAACAAACTGTAGGCATTTAGACATGCATGCAGACAGGAAGGCATGTCAAAGAGTGAACATTTACACACACATTCATCTAAAAAAAACAAGCATTGCAGCGGAAGCAATAAAAAAAAATCCCACTGAAATACTGCAGCTTTCAATTAAACATCCTAGTTGCAGGCCTCCGGGAACCACAAGGGACCTTCAAGGACTTTCAATCTGTGCAGCACATTAATTAAGACATCCATAAAATCTAAATTTTTCCTTGAAGGAAATCTCCATGT